CCTTTTGTAGGACAGCTTCCTAGAATTCTCAATTCTTCTGAATTTGCTTCACTTTTCTGACTCTCCTGGTTAAGTTCTCCTCCTAAGAATTTTCATTCTACTCATTCTGTTTTCTTTAAAAGTAATCCCCAGAGTTTCTTTCTCAATTTACTTCTCTTCTTCCTAGAGTGATGACTCTTGTTCTTTCATTTACAAGGAGAGTTAACCAGGAAATTTATTAAAAATGGAACTCCCTCATATCTCCTCCATAGATTTTGATCCAATAGAAAGACCTTATCAGAGGTAAAATTGAGGTCCATCAGTCTTCAGTTTTAATTCTCTCTTTTTTTTTTAGGAAAACATTTATTGGTACATTTTAGATTACATGATGATAACATTCAACATAGGGAATTTGTACCAGTGCATGGCCTGGAGAAGAAGCAAGATACTTCCATTTTAATTCGGATAAAGCCTCTCTTTTAAAAAAGGTATTACATTGTTTATAATTAAGGTATCCACACGAAGTCAAGATACGTCATAGATAGAAAAAACGGTTACAAAAGAGAACCGATTCACACATCCATCCTCTCACACAGCTACTACTTTTTCTTTGTTTTTGTGGTAAGAGTAAGTAAAATCTACTTATTTAATATGTCTCATATATAGTACAATTGTATTAGCTACAATGATAATGTTGTAGATTAAATTTCTGGATCAGTTTATCCTACGTATCTGCTACTTTGTGTCTTCTAAACTACTTCTAACCTCACCATACATTCTCTCCCTACAATGTTTATGGCAACCATTGCTTTGTTCTATATCTCTGTATATTGCATTCTGTGTTTTAAAGATTCTACTAACATGTAAGAATTTGCAATTTGTTTCTTTGTGACTGGCTTATTTCACTTAGTGTGACATTAATCCAGGTTCATACATGCTGTGACCAGTGAGAGGATCTCATTCTTTTTCAAGGTGGCATAATATTCTATTGTACACATATACGACATTTAAAAAAATCTATGCATACAATGACAGACATTTAATATGTTTCCTATATCTTGCTATTGTGAATAATATTGAAACAATCATGGAAGCACAGGTATTTTACTATACTGATTTTCTTTAGGTGTGCACTCAAAGCAGTGATTGTTGATCATGTGGTAGTTTTACATTTGGTTTTCTGAAGAGTCTCCACACTGTTTTCTATAAATCTACATTAGCATCAATAATTCCCTTTTCTTCATTTTCTCACCAACATTCATCTTTGACATTTTAATAACACTTATCTATGATAGTTTGGATCTTCAGTGTTCCTCAAAGGCTCTGTGCTGTTGAAGGCGTGGTCCCACTCCAGCTTGTCATTTGCAAAGTGGTGAAACTTTTAGTATGTGGGGCCTAGGAGCAGGAAATTATGTAATTAGGTGCATGTCCTTGAAAGAAATAACGGAACTCCAGTTCTTTGTCTTTTTCTTTTCTTCTTGGTATCCATGAGTGGAGGAGCTCCCTCTGTCATACGCCCCCAACAGAATGTAATGCCAAGCCACAAGGCCAAGCAAGAGCGGACTGAAATTGCTGATACTGTGAGCAAAATTAAACCTTTCCCTTTGTAAGGTGATTGTCTCAGGTATTATGTTATCAAGATGCAAAGCTGACCTAACCATCATCCTACAGTAAAGCTCATAGTACTTTTGATTCACCTTTCCTTGTTGATTGATGATGACCTTTTCAAATGCCTATTGGCTGTTTTTATGTCTTCTTTGAAGAAAATGTATTTTCAGGTTGTTTGTTCATTTTTGCACAGGTGTTTTTCCACTACTGAGTTATCTATTTTCTTTATAAAGTTTGTGTATTCATCCTTTAGGGCACTTTTCACCTTTCATTGCTTTAATCCTATCATAGATGACAATTTCTAAACCAGACCTATACCCCATATTTATCCACTAGTTCACCTATGTACTAATTATGCAATATCTAGCAAAAAAACATTTTAAGAGTTTATGTCCAGAAAACACTTGTCTATGAGTCCTTGTCTATATGAATCGTTGGTATCAAAATCAATTGGGAAACTTGCTAAAAATCACTGACTTACAAACCATTTTAATGCTGACTCTGTCTGGCATAAGGCTTGTGGTATTGTATTTTTTTCTCATTGAGTTTATTGGTACATTTTAGGTATACAGTACAGTCACATTCATCACTGGGATCTTGTATCTTTACATGACAGGTCTTGGTTCTCATTTTTTCCCCCCTATCCCTGCCCTCCCTTCACCTCCTCCTCCCTTACCTATTTACAAATATTTTATTTCCATTTATTCATTTTCTCATTTTTCCTTTTCCCTTATTACCTTTCCCCTACCCCTTCCCATTCCCACTTCCCCTACACCCTTTTCTTCCTATTTCACATTATCAATTATATCATTAGGATCTTATGTGCCATTATAGTTTTTCACACCAGAGAAACTGTTCAGTATTTATACAGGTGTAACTTGTTTATTTCACTTAGGAGTATATCCTCAATATATATCCATTTTCCTATGAATGACTCTATTTTCTCATTCTTTATGGCTTAGTAGTATTCCATTTTATAGAAAAAACACATCTTCTTTATCCAGTTTCCAACTGATGGGCAGATGGGCTGTTTCCAAGTTTTAGCTATTACAAACTGTGTCGCTATAAACATAGGTGTGCATATATCTCTGTGATATGATTCTTTTAGTTCTTTTGCAAAGATACCCAGAAGAGGGATGGCTGGGTCAAATGGAACCTCCAGTCCAAGCTCTTTGAGGTATCTCCATATTGATTTCCACAGTGGTTGCACCAGTCTGCACTTCCACCAACAATGGAGAAGGGCTCCTTTCTCCCCACAACCCGCCAACATTTGTTATTGTGTGATTTCTCGATAGCAGCCATTCTTTGTGGGGTGAGGTGGAATCTCAGTGTTGTTTTCATCTGCATCTCTCAAATGACCAGTGATATGGAACATTTTTTCATCTATTTACTTGCTGCTTTTTCTTCTTTGTCTGAGAAATGTCTGTTCATTTCAGATGCCCATTTTTGAATCAGGTCTTTATATTGAGGGGGGAGCTGATTTTTTATTTTTAATAAGCCTTCATGTAATATTACCGAACCACTTCAAGAAATGTTGTCTCTCCAACTGGGAATGGTGGTGCACATCTGCAATCTCAGCCCTGGGGAGACAGAGGCAAAAGGAGTTCCAGGCCAGCCTGGGCTACATAGTGAGTTCCGGGCCAGACTGAGCTATACATAGTGAGACCCTGTCTCAAAGGAAAGAAAACAAAACAAAAACAAAAATGTCTCTCCCAAAGATTCACCTGGCTCTTCCTAACAGCAGGACTACATAGTCTTTGGAGGCACCTTCCTCAATAGAAGGTTTAGGGTGTGAGAATAAGGGATAGTTGAACTTTCCTCATAATCTCTAGCAAAGCTCAAACAATTCTAAATAACAATGCAAACTAAAATCAGTGTTTGGCTCTGCCCTGACTTGCTTTTCTTTTCCTTTTGCAGTGCTAGAGATCAAACCCAGGACTTCATACATGCTGTGCAAGGGCTTCCTCAGTGAGCTGTGTCCCTGTCCCCAGTACATTTCTATCTGAAGGCAGTTATACATCAGATCACCAGCCACTGCCCTCCCAACAAAATTCCCATATGCCCTTTTATACAGTTATTTCTGCACTACCGTGGTTTGCCTTTATACTAGTTATGTTTCAAAATAAGGAATACAGGGCCGGGGATTTAGCTCAGTGGGGCTGCCACCTGCCTCACAAGCTCAAGGACCCGAGTTCGATCCCCAACCAAAACATTCGAACCCTTTACCAAATAATAATAATAATAATAATAATAATAATAATAATAATAAGGAATACATTCATGGGCCCCCTCTCTTTATAAGAAGGAACATTCATGGGCCCCCTCTCTTTTCAGACTTTTCATATGAAGACACACTATTAATTTAAGAAATTGAATGAAAAAGCCTATAAAAACCTCAATGAGGACAGTATACATCCCCATAGTGAAGATAGTATCCATTAGTATTGATGAAAGTCATTAATTTTTGTTTTCTAAGGAAACTTTTCTTCAGACCACCTCCACTAGAGGCAACTCAATTAATAGCATTTGTATCATAAAGAGTCCTGGTTTACATTTTTTAAAAATTAGCCTCTGCACTACAGATGAATTTTATTAGTTGCCTTAGAAAATTCTAATTTGGGGTTTTCTTCTTTGTCCTTTTACTCAGGTTATGCTTTTTAGTGCTTTCGTGCAATTCTGTTTCCCAGGGTTATTAGAATAAAATTAGACTTCAATAAGTCATTTCAAGAGGAGGCAACTAAGTGGTTAATCCTTTTGAAATCTTTAACAAATCACATTATTCTCAGACTGAGGCTGGCATTTAAGGAATCAGAAATAACACAATCCACATAACTTTGATATATATGAATGGTTTTTATAAAACATACATTTTTACACTGAGTAGGCCCTTAGCCTCATTTTGAGTGGAAACATTGTCAGCGGTTGTAATGCAAACAGTGTGCGACATCAATGTTTTGATCCATTGGAATCTTGTCTCTATGCAAACGTTATATTCATGTTTTGTGTCCTTGTTCTATCTGCACATCACAATGTGCAATAAGGAGATAAAAATTTTTTTCACTTAAAAAAAATCAATGGAAGCTGAAAGGACAAGCAATTTACTCAGATTTTAGCACGAGTGTTTTGGCTTTGATTCCAGGAGCTTGAGGCACTGATTCACGCTAGATTTCTAAACACAAACAGGAAACATTTTACTTCAGCTGAGGTCACCAGCAGACATTTCCCACAGCTTGGAGTTATTCTTTGACATATCTTTAATCCTTGCTTTTCTCTCCACAGTTCTCCTTTCCGCCGCCTCCCTCTCTCAGCTGCAGGGATTTATGCTCTGCAAGAATGGGGGTGGGAGGGAACAAGGCAGGGGAGCGAGAAGGGAGCAGGAGCTGGAGAACGCCGGGATCTGGCTTTTGTTATTGGTTGGCTGCCGCCTGATGGGTAGAGGAGGGAGGAGTGAATTCTCTTCAGTGTGTTCTGACGGCGCCGAAGTCCAGAAACCATATTACAGGTAAGAGCAGAAATATTATATATAAAAAAGAACGGAATATTCTTTGTTGTGTTTTTAAAAGAGAATGTTTCTCAATTCTTATTGAAAAAGGGTATGCTATGAAAATTATTCTGACTACATTTCCAGAAAATATGCCCTTTTATTACTTGAAGAAGCTGTGCAGTGAGCTGTTCTTTCTCTACAAAACCCTCTGCTGATTAAAAACAAAACAAAAAAACCAAACAAACCCCAAACACCAGAGGCATCTGTAACCTGGATGACTTAGCAGTTGTTATTGAAGAAAACTGTTAGGTAAAACGAGTCTTCATGTGTCGTTTTAATCCTTTTTTGCATTGAAACTTGTATTATTGGGAATCAAAGGAGGAATGAAAAAGCTTGGTAAATTCCACAGGTTCTGAGAAAATGGAGCCTTATCTGAATATACAATATAAATTCAATGTAGTGTCTTTTAATACTTACAATACGGTATGTGGTTTAGGAAATATATTTTTACACATCGTAGACTCTTACGCTAATTTAGAATGAATGATTTGTGTGTATTTAAGTCCTTTTGCTGAACTTACTCCCCTCGCTTAATCTCGTGCTTTTTGAGTAAATATATCATTCGATCAATAAATATTAAGCTCAGTCGTCTTTCTGTGCTTACTGACGTGTGGGATCATTTTCATTTTAAAAACTAAGAAACTAAATGTGAAAAAATAAACATTTCGGTAAAAAAATAGCATTTTTAGCAGGCAAGCTTCACTGGTAGTTTTACTTATCAATCAGGTGTATCTAGATAAGAATTCCATCACAGCATTTGTATCGCTGGCTATATCTTCAAGATTATTTTCAGCATCTCTGAAGTTTTTATTTTGCTAGTTGCTTATATTTCCTAACATAGCCTTTTATTTTCCTCTAGCAAAAATGAGGAAGATTTATAAATATATACAATGAATGACACACTTATAATAAAGACAAATGAAAAATATTTTTAATTTCAAGTATTTTAATCATATACTGATTTTAATCCATAAGTATAGATCATTAAGGTTGAGATTCTTCCATTAAAATTAAGCTGGGAAAATATTGTTATAGACTTGGCTATTAATACCTGTTGATTATAATAAATGAAAGTTTTTGCTTGATATAAATGACATATTTATATAGGTTGGAATGCTTCTTTTGATTTAATCATAGACTAGTAGAAGTGACTATATATTTTAAAGGATCTTTTGGTCTTGTTTTTGCTTTCTGCTTTTGTTTGGGATAAACATTTGTCTTTAAAGAGATACAGCTTTTGCAAAATTGAAATAAATGGGCATGAAAAACTACTGGATACTGAGTAAAGATTATCTAAATGAATAAAGAATTTCCTTAAACTTCCTAAATATACTATAGTTAATATTTTTACACACTTATATGTCATAATGACCCAAATACTGGTACAAATACTCTTGCATGGCTTAATTTGAACCTTTTCTGATTTAAAAAATGAAATAATATTGAAATTTCACTGTTTCAAATATTTATAGATTTTTTTCTAATTCTGGTTTTTCCGAGCAAAATGACTGTTGAATTTAATCCACCCCACCTAGCAGATTAGATTGTGAGGCAATATACAAAACCAGAGAGTCACCTCCTGAAATGTGTTGGTGAGAAATTAAGTCAATGAAACTACATGTTTTAGAAATTACAAATTCTGAGCAAAGCTACCTCTAGGAATGAAGGGGAATTGATGAAAATTAGAGAGCAGAGTTCCACATGGTTTTAAATTATTCTGTTTCCTTGGAAACCAGCTGCTGCAGATGCATTTTGCTTTCTTTGGCTAAAAATATCATCCTTTTAATAATTGCTGAGGGAAAGGTTCTGAATAAAGCAGAGTATATTGTTGCTGCTTTTTATAATTTCCTTAATGGTTTACATATTTTGGATGAAAAGTAGATAAACCCTTTCTCAATCAGCATTTCCTATCAGCAACTGTCAGACGTCTGCAAGCCTTACAACCATGGTAGCTTCTACTGCAGAGTCCACAGGGAGTGTGTGTGTGTGTGTGTGTGTGTGTGCTGCATAGAAGGAAAGAGAGAGAAAAGAGAGTGAAAGAAAGCAGTGAAGAGGGAGGTTTCTGTCCAAGTGAAGGATGAGACAAGGCAAATGAAAACTTCGTAAGGCCACCCAGAAGGGGACCATTTTTTCTCCTCCTCGAGTAAATATCTTCAAGACTTAAACATAGGTTTGTAATGAAGAGCACTAAATAATTCTGTCACCTTTTGCAAAGTACTTTATTTCCTTTTGATATTACAGTGGTTAGTAATATAATCAAGAAGACAACAGATTTTAAATATTGCTAAATTTAACCATAAAAAGAAAAAATTGAGATCAGGCTATGGGTAGCAAGGATCATTAAATACATATTTTGATATAGCAAAATAAGAATATTTTAAACTTAATGTTTATGCCATGTTTCACGAATGCAACCAATTCCTTACCTACATAGTTTGCCTAATAAATAAAAACTGTATATTTCAATGAACAAAAAGCTATTTTAAAGTTAAGGTAGTATATTTTAATTTTAATAGTAATTATTATTAGTGAACATGTATATTTTAAAGCTTCATTTGAAACACTTTGCCTTATTTTAAAATTTTGTGTTTTGTCTGTTAAAAATATCTTGGATATCATCCTACTCTTTCCTAGGTAATTCCTAAAATAAAAATTATTTTCATTATGTTTACTTTTAAAATTTATTTTAAGATGACACAGTCCTCTGGTGTGAATTAACTATGATAGTACATAAGATCCTAATGAGATAATTGACAGTGTGAAATAAGAAGAAAAGGGCTAAAGGTGTAGGGAAAGTGGGAAGGGTAGGGGAAAGGTAATAAGGGAAAAGAAAAAATAGGAGAAAATGAAAAAATGGAAATAAAGTGTTTGTAAATGGGGTGGGGGGAGGGCAAGGACAAGGGGAAAAAATGAGAACCCAGACCTGTCGTGCAAAGGTACAAGATCCCAATAATGAATATAACTGTACTGTTTACCTAAAATGTACTGATAAACTCAATGAGGAAAAAAAAAAGATGACAGTCATTGCAAACAACATTTTTTTCTCTCAGTAATTATTGAAAGGAAAAAATAATGTATCTGGTGTGGGTTTTCTGTAATAATATAATAATTATATTATTTTTATTTAGGAGAGGTTTATTTTCTCCTCTCCACTCATGTAAATGTTTCTGACATTTAATATTTTATTTTCATAATATTCATCTTAGTCTACTAGATTTAGTGTTGGCAGTGTAGCAAATAAAGCATCATACATTTAAACCATGTGTTAAAATATTTAACACTTACTGAATATATTGTGCACAGTTCATTTGGTACAACACTACTTTATTTTCCAAAAGGAGTTAGTATAGTGTCAAGGATTTGGGTTTTATTATTTAACATGAGCCAAGCACTTCAAGGACAGCACCTTCCTTTAAACACAGGTGACATTAAAAAGTACACTAACAATGAATAAGAGGGATTAGAAAGTAGATTAAATGACCTATGTGAATAATCCCTATATGAAGCACAATCCAAATTATTATGTTTATTTCAAGTTCCTGAAAACAACACATTACCTAGGCTTAATTTTAACTGAAGATAATGAAAAAATACATTTTGTTAGTAGTGTCTACCACTTTATGCTCCTTTATTTGCTAAAAGTAGCCCACCAGAATTGAAGGTGAGTATGCATGGCCTCTTAAAAATTACAAAATGTACTAAGAAAAATGAAATAATCAATAGCTTCCTCTATAATATAGGTAGTCAACTTTATATCTATAATGGAAAATGTGCTAGTTTGACAACCCCACATTGCTGGAAATGGAGGGAAAATATTTAAAATAAAAGGAAATAAATTAGGGGAAATAAATATCACCATGTTCATATTGTACTTTAGGTAATCCAAGCAAATGAAAAGTAGCATTAACATTTGTGTCATGGGATATAATAACTAAAAAATATTATTGATCTCATTTTGACTTACTATATATTTAATACCTGATAGTTTAATGTAGGGCTTATACAGGAATGGAAAGAAGGTTGGTCCAAAGCAGCATGATTATTTCTTAATTACAATTCTTATAAATCAAAGAGGAAGGAATTTACTATCAAAGTAATGATCACATTTGGATACTTGACATACTTCAGTGAATGAATTGAAAAGATCAGTACATTTCTCTGAATTGTCTAGATTTCAGTTATTACAGTGCAGTATGTGGGTTGACCTAAAAACTTTTTAATGTGCATGTTCTGAGAATATAGAGAATATAGACTTAATATAACTTTTCCAAACATTTAATTCAGGAGTATGATGATCATAAGTGTCAACACTAATTCTGAGCATCACAGATTAGTGAAGAAACCTCTTTTCCATGAGATAGGCTTCAGTATTGATTTTAATCTCACGATCAGCAGGGTAGTCAGCCAATGCTTTATTTACCAAAAGCCTTTATACCTAATTCCAGAAATATTATTTTCCAAATAATAATAAAACAGTACAAACATTTTAAAATTTTTGACTCATGCACATTAATGAAAAATGACAGTTTAAAGAGAAATCACCAACAAAAGTAGCTTTAATGGAAATTATTATATCTTTAAAGAACATTTGCTATAAAGCGTGTTGGCAAAAACTAGTTTAATTTTCATCTACTACTTGTGCATATTTTGCTCTGTTTTAACCTAGATGCCTGGGATTGCCCTATAGAGATAATTTTTCCTAGAATCCTTGTTTTTCCTGTGAAGAAACAAAAACATAAAGTATGAGTTTTTTTAATGGGAACTTAAACATTTGCTTATGCAAACTTAAAGCAGTCAAATACTATATGTTTGTATGAAGTATTAGAAAAATTGTATTAAAGACAGAGTTCATCCTGTCCTATGCCACCTGCCATGGCTTCTTGGTGTGGTCAATGCACCTGATATTTTGACCTTTCAGTCTTTTATTTAACCACGTGAATTGTAATTCTTGGTTACAA